CATTAAATTAGAAAACAGATCCGCGCAAGGAAAATCTATGTAGAAAAATGACAAAATGTTCAACACAATGATCACGTCAATGGCCTGTGCTTGTTAATCGACTTTTTTGTGTGACATACAAAACAATTAAAGAAAGAAATCTGAGCTCAACTCTCAATTTTTTCTCATTTCTTGTATAGCATCTTGTCAAAATCTACGTACATCTAAGACTCTCAGTTAAAAAAATGTATCAATATATAAAATTTAGTTGTGCGCAAGAATAACATATCAAGTTCAAATTTCATCAGCCTAACTGTTCAAAAACCAAAAAATTCCAATGAGAAACAATTTGATTCAGAAACAATTTTAACAGAAACAAACTTTCTATTATAGTTTATAGTTTATAAGCTAAATCCTGAGAAAAAAAACGGAAAGAATCGCCATCCATTTGGTATCTACTACAAATTTGTCAGCCCTACAAATAAAATCAGTAAGCTACAACTAGAGCGTTGTATTCAAAAATTGAATTTTACTGTTTTTTGATTGGTCGAACATACGACAACGTAACCTACTTAACAATTACCTCCTCACGTGTTATGTAGTTCTTTAATTTTTTCCAGTATTTTTATCAATTCCAACATCCAAGTGGATTTTTTTATTTTAAAAAGAATTGTGAAAAAGAACAAATTAGGGTTACTTCATGGTTTACACGAGAACAATTAAATTTAAATCTACATAGGGCTGCATGTAAAATGCTCTATTCTGATTGGCCGAAATTTCGAACTCAGAACCAAGTTAACATCTTCCCCCTAAAGAGTTCTTTTTTTTTGTGTGGGGGGAGGATATTAACTTAGTCCGTTGGTTTCATTATTCCCAGCGCATTTTGCGAAAATTTCACTTTTTATTTTAACGATGAAAAAATTCAACAATTTTTCCGAAAAAAATCTTTAGTTTACCTTTTTCAGTAACAACTAAATAAAAACTCACTTTAATGGACTCAATTAATGTTGAGCTCGTTACTTCCGATAGTTTTTCTTAAAATACCGGGTTGACCTCCATAGACCAAAAATGCTAGTCATACAATTCCATAATCTGAGTCTATGAAAAAAAAATTAATCATTTAAGTTTCATACATTTTGCTAAAATGGTGTCATCGAAGTTTCGAAGATCTTTTTCCTAGTTTGGCACAAAAATTCGCTGTATCGCACCAAATGGAAAACAAAAACTGATTGCCAAAAAAATGATAATATGGAAATTGTCTGAATAGCGTTTTTTTGATGGCGACAACAAAAATTTTTCATATTTTTTTTGAATTAACCCCAAATTTTTTTTTGTGTTTTTTTTCCAACCACAAAATGATTTTTTTACCTAAACTAATATTTCTAGAACAAAAATTTGCATGCAAAAGTTATTTTTTTTGTGTGCATAACTTAGTCCTGGATACACAAATATTGAACTGTTTTCCTTTTCGCTTGATAATCTTTCTCAAAAACACTGAAAACTCCTCTTTCTTTTGTATCGCTTAGGTATGCTTTGATCAATGTCTGATAATTTAAAAATTCAAAACTTAAAAATTATCATCTTTGAAAGTTTTTGCCAAATTTAAAAGTTTGATACATTGTTATATTATTTGTGTGAGACAGATTTATGACAATTGAGGCCGTTTCCAACGCATTTAAATGCGAGATGGTAAAACTATTAGGTACTCTATGTTTGACTAACCAGGATTTTTGTTACTTGTGTTCAGTAACGAACACAACCAAAAAAAAATTTGAAAAAAGAAAATGTGTAAAAGATCAATAATTTTGATTTACCGAAAAATGCTAGTCATACAGTTTCCATATACGAAAAATTACTAATCATAGACTTTTCATGCACTTTTTGTACTTGTGAAATTGCATGAAAAATGTATGCTTATCATTTTTCCATATATAAAAATTGTATGACTAGCATTTCTGGTCAACCAGGGATGCTTTACTAAAATTTAAAAAAAAAACTGCAATTTTGAGCCTTTTTATGCGAATAAATGGTGGAGCTTTCTGATTGGTCATTTTTAGGTCTGCTTAAGAACCGGTTTACTAAATTTCCTAGCACCCCGACATAGGGTATTTTCTGTTGGGGCAGTACACCAATGCCGAAATTTAAAATAATGTTCAACGGTGCCGAAAATCATTTTGAATACTGTTTTAACTCATCCCAAATCTTAATTTAATTTTATTCGAAAAAACGCTAGTTGAAAAGACACCATTACCCATTTTAAATTGATGCGGCGTAAACCAGCAAAAGTTGCCCTAGCGCGGCGTCATAAATTTTTCTGAACAAACAACTAACTCAAACTTTTTCAAACAACTAAGCGAATTTTCAAACTTTCTTCTCGGTTTCGCTCCAAAACAAAACCGCATTCACGTAAAATTGCCAGCGGGGGCGTTCAACAGTGCTAAAGTACAACAGTGCCGAAAAAGGCGGGAAAATTTCAGAATAAATTAAACGCATTTTCTAAGAAGCCGGAAATTATTGACGCTAAATAACAAAGAAAATCACTCCAATTTTGGCGCCAAAATGTCTTCAACTGCAAATTAAACAATTATTTTGGCCCCAAATTGTCTAAGTTGCCAATTTTCTTGCTCAAAATCTTAAAATGTCACTTAAGATTGTAGACAATCGCCGTTCAGTTTTCGATTGCCGCCCTTACATATGTTGAAATTTGTTCAAATTTTCGGCACTGTTGCATAAAGTTTTCATTTTCGGCACTGTTGGACTATTTTTTTGTTCGGCACTGTTGTACTTCGGCACTGTTGTAGTGCCCATTGCCAGCAATTCACAAACAGAGATCATATTTATCAAATATCATTAATTTGCGGCACTGTTGAGGGTAGACTTTAAGTAGGTGCGCAATGCGCCTTTCCTCTATCCTTTCCAATTTCATGTACTGATTTGAATGGGTCCATATCAATTGTTTGTAACTAGTTGGGTGTCTTATGCACTAAACGGCCCAAATTCGTTATTTCTACATCTCTTGAACTGAAATTATTGTGGATGAATTTAATTGGCTAATTAGCCAATCAAGTTCCATCGACATTTTCTGCCATTTTAATTGAAATTTCAAGCATATAAAATTATTAGCCGAAATGATAAAGAAAATTAAATTTGGTTTGATCATGCCATTTTACTGAATTTTGCTTGTCTGGGCAAGTTTCACAAGTGACTTAAAATTAATTTGATACTTCGACTCAAAGTTCCAACTTTTCGGCAATTTCGGTTGTAATTTTTATCTGCTAGAAAGGTTTATCGGAATGCCTGACCGTGTAACTTGAAATTTATTGGCTAAAATTACCCAATCAAAGTTGATCGCATAATTTCCAGCTTACGATGTAGAAAATTTGATTTTGGGCTGTTTAGTGCATAAGACCCCTAGTTGGAAATAAATTGATGATTGTTGTTTGTCTTTACATGATTTTGGATAAATACATTTTTCTTCTTCTTCTTGAAAACTTTTTCAGTTTCTGCACTGTGGTATTTTGGGCACTGTTGAGCGCCCCTTTTCTGTTATACGGTCCAAAATATCGGTTGGGTTGCAGTATTTAGACAACCGCGTATTCAGACTCGTCAGTAAGAAGACAAAAACTGTATAAACCAATCCGAATCGAGACAAGGAAGAAATGAATAATTAATAACTATTCATTTCGTAAACTTGCTTTCTCATCTCAATTCTGATTGGTTAGTATGGTAATTGTCTGCTTACTGACGAGTATGAATACGCGGTTGTCTAAATGAATGCCCCACGTTTCGCCCCTCGCACATTTCGCCCCTCTTAAATCTAGTGGCACATTTCGCCCCTCTTAAAACTAGTGGCACATTTCGTCCCTCACACATTTCGCCCCTAATAATTTCACACATTTCGTCCTCGCAAGTTTCGCCCCTAACTTATTACACAGTTAATTAACGCCGCTTTCTTGGGCGAAATGTGCCACTAGATTTAAGAGGGGCAAAACGTGTGAGGCGCGAAATGTGTGAATACCTGTCTAAATACAGACCGCACTCTTTTCGCCGATACTAATTTCAACCAATCAGATTCGAGCATCATGATCAGACTTTCAAAATGGCTGAAATAATAATTTCTGGGCCGTAAAACAGAAAAGAGCCCCGACATACCCCATTATTTAGGGGGTAGATTATGTTCAATACTCTGAAATATACTTTCGGGTTGAACCAATGTAAAATTTAGCTATTTTACACTTCAGCCCATTCAAATCCGTGATCGTTTCGTTCACTTACATCAAAACAGGTAAATCAATCAGATGGCTGTCTAGTTAAGTACACTTCACTTATAATCAGGTTATAAAACTTAGGCGCCTGAAGGCAGTAATTAGATAAATTTACAAAAGAGAATTTGTAGCCAGAAAGTGGTCTCTACTTTTCGCTTTTGTAATCAGTGCATACATTTGTCTGCTCTGACCGAGATTGATAAAAGATCGGCTCTATTTGTAGTCCGAATTGACGGACGCTGTCTATCATTTGATATCGCTTGAAAACGGATCGAAAAACCGAATAGTAAATCAGCCGAATCGTTCTGAACAAAAATACAAAGAGTGCAATTAAAAACAAATGAAGACCTATAAAACTTTTTTAATTGAAAAACTTCGAGAATAAAGTTACTGTTCAAAAAACAGTTTGAAATACATTATTTTTTTGTGAATTTAGGAAAACGGAAAAAGACCAAGTGGACAATCTCCCCCTAAATCAATTTAAGGGGGGGGAGTTAACTTGGCTAAAAGTAATGTTTTTCAGCCAATCAGATTTGAGCATAGTACATGCATGCCTTATGTCTTGAATTTGCCATTTAATTTTACGGGGTAGATTGTTTACTTGGTCTTCTAAGGGGGGCGATTGTCCACATGGGCCCGGAAAAATGGGTCTGCTTATTGAACATTCGGTCGTATGGCCGATCACCGATAATTTGTTCATTCTGAAAACAAACAGATCGTTTTGCACTTCAGATATCAAACAGAAAAGCACTTTATGAAGAAAATCCACAATAAAAGAAATATGACGTCTTACAACCTTCAAGAAACCAAAGAAAATTTCATTTAAACTCCATCAAAAATTTGAGCACGCATAATTTTTGTGTTATGTTTGACTTAACAAGTCGAATATAATTGATTTATTAGCAGGTGTCAATTAATAAACGTACAATTATATTTTTACAACTCACAAAATTTGCGTTTTTGTTCAAGATGTAAAGAAACTTGTGTATTTTCTTTATAATTACAGGCTACAATTCATAAATTACAAAATGGTATCGATATTACCACTTGTAAAATTAAACATCTAATTTTGAGATAAAAAGATAGAGGGGGGTACAGGTCTGAATGGTAGTTCCTGGGGGGTTAAGCCATTTGCGTATTTTGCTTTTAAATTTAGACAGGAATTAGCTCTAAGCAATTTTAAAGACCACACTTAATTTTAAGCGCGGCCGAATTGTTGACAAATTTGTAACGAAAAACTAAGTAATTTGGCCCGATTTATCAATTGACGCCGGTGAAATAAGATTAAGGAGCCCTTTCAAAAACGAAAAGTTAGAATACTGGCGTTTTCGTTGTATTTTCTGGCATTGTAGTTCCAATTTCTGGCTTTTCTGGCATTTTCTGATCGCCTATTGACCAGTTTTCGTACCAATAAAAACAGCTAGAAAGAGACTAAAATCTTCTTAAGCTGAAAATAGTAAAGTCACAATTCTTCGTGTCATTTTTTCACAAAGTATTAATTCGTCTTTTTGAACATATTATTTACCAAATTATAGAAAATTTCGTATTTGGTTGTTATTCTTCGTGTTCTTTTCACCCGAGATTATTTTTAAGTCGGTCGGACAAAACAGAAACGGATTGTTTTTGTCCTTTCCAGATTCGACCACACACGTGTAAACGAACAGCAGACAGGAAAGTAGATTAAATAAACTTTACCTTTACAAAATCATAATCTTAATTTGAGATCGGGTGAAGTTGCCAAAATAAACAAATTGGCGCTCTGATCTCATTTTCAGACTAATTTACCAAATTTCGGTCAGTAACTCCTTTTATAACTTGGTTATAACTAATACTTCCCCTCATTGACAAATCATTTAATCAAAGCCACCTGAACATACTACTCTTATTTTGCTGATAGAAATCTGTCAAAATATACCAATTTTCAACAAACATTGATTTTCTAGTAATCTTGTTTATTTCCCAAACGAGCCAAAACAGCCTAATTTACGTTTAATATCCGCTCGATCTACAAAAACTATCCTAATTAAATTCAAATTCCGACTTTTATTATGCAAAAAAGTTGAAATTCAAAAACCGTAAATAAAATCCACAATGAAATCGTCAAAAATTCGTAATTTATCGAAGCATTACTTAATTTATGTTTTACAATTTCTTACGCTACCGTATGTATCGAACCAAAACCCCATCTTACAAGATCAAAAGGCAATTATTTCCAGAAATGTCGCATCAATTCTGTTTGGCAATGGTTCTGAAACGCAATTTGATTCCGAACTTTTACCTCAATTCGTTCATCGAAATAACTCACTTATGACAAGAGTTATGAATGATGCAGATGATGAAATTAATACTAAAATTTTTAATGATTCGTCAAACTTACAAGACCAAGGTTACGTGTTAGCCCCGGGCGCAGCACTTAACGACCATCAAAAGGTAATTTTTTGCTTCTTTTATTAAAAAACTCTTTTTAAAAAGTCTTTTTACTTATTCCGCCCAATTTTCTTAATTTTACGATTTTGTAATATATTCAATGAAAAATGCCGAGAACAACATACTGATAGCACTGGTTAATTTGGTTAATACAAATGCGATCACTTTATTCGTGAGCCGACTTCTAACAAGGACGAATTTTGAGCAGATACAAAGTGGGTCACCTTTTTCCTTGCAGCTGTTTTCTGTGTTTTTTTTCTAATCTGGTTAAAACTCTGGAGGATTTTTGAAATAATTTTGTGTAGTTTACCAAAAATTCTTCATTTTAGGCCATATCGATTTGTTTATATTTCGACTTAAAACTGTGAATAAAACATTTTGAGATGGTGCTGAAATCTGATTGGCTAATTTGTTGAAATAATGATTTTTGGACGGAATAATTTAAAAGACCCAAAAAACGACAAATAAACATTTTTGATAAAGGTTCCTCCAACTGTCGAGTTTGTTTTTACGACCCAAGAACGTATATTCAACTAATATTTTAGATTATGTTTTTTAAATCAAGATTTTTTAATATAATTTATTCTAATAACCAACCAATTTCGAGCTTTATGATCTAATTTTGAAAATTAACAAGATCAGTTTTTGAGTGCATATGATGTGTTGTCACAGAGTCAAAAATTCATGGATAGCCGAAAATTTTTTAGTTTCTGGATAGCCTAAATCTTTTTTGTCCCCAATAGCCAAAAAAAGATTCGCTACACGCAAAATTTAATCGCTGCAAATACTATTTTAGCATAGATAATTTAAAAAAGGATTTTTACTAATAAAGCTCCTACCCCAAGTAATTTACATGCCCTCAGAATAGAAAAATTACACGATGAAGGAAGATAATTCTTTAAGAAATTCGGAAACTCCATCAACTTTTTATATTGAATCGAATAAAGCTGAGGTAATCCAAAACGCTGTAAAAATCTTAATTGCAAAATTTTTTGCTACAGTGGCAAATATTTGAAAAAAAAGACATTGGCAATAAACCGAATTTTTGAACTTTTTTGGTGCCTGCTCCCCGCGCCAATCTCAAGACACCTAATGTATTTTTCTCTTATTTGGATATTTACTGGATGGCTGAAAAAAAAATTTGTTCGAGGATAGCCAAAAAAAACTTTGTCATTGGATAGCCAAGAAAATTTGTTCCCGGATAACCGAACGACAGTTTTATTCCCGGAAAGCCGAAAAAATATTGCGTATCAAAGTAGTCACACTTTTTTGTTAATTAATTCCATGAAATCAAAGCTAGTACGCATTTAAAACGTTTTTTATTTTTTAGATTTTTCTTAGCTAAATTCTGAAAAAAATGAGATAATTTAAGGGTTTAAATAAAATTGGTCCAATATCTGTGACGAAGTTGCCTTTTTAGTTAAATTTTCTTTTCTTGCCAATAACATCGACAAGAAATTCAGTTTTTTTTTGGCTATCCGGAAATGGAGCTCTGTGGTTACAGTGTAAAAATACAGTGTAATGAATATAACGCCCAGCAAGGTCTTCAAAAAACAAATTAATTGCCTAAACATAATTTTGAACTATTTGAAAGCCGTATCAAGTCGCTGCTTACGCGTTGAAAGCACAAAGCATATCGCGCGTTAAGTTCAAAACTCCCATACAAAAATCTTAACCAGAAACTATTTAAATTTTTTTTTAATTATTCAATTGAAAATGTAAATAATTTTAAGAAGGTAAAAAAAGAAATTCTGATCAAAAAAGACCGAGGTTTAAACATTGAAATTGGTCGATTAAAATTATTTTTTGAAATTTCTCGTCATTCCTGTTATGTGGTCGGTGCGACCACATAACAGGAATGACGAGAGATTTCAAAAAATAATTTTAATGGACCAATTTCAATGTTTAAACCTCGGTCTTTTTTGATCAGAATTTCTTTTTTTACCACCTTAAAATTATTTACATTTTTAATTGAATAATTAAAAAAAAAATTAAATAGTTTCTGGTTAAGATTTTTGTATGGGAGTTTTGAACTTAACGCGCGATATGCTTTGTGCTTTCAACGCGTAAGCAGCGACTTGATACGGCTCTCAAATAGTTCAAAATTATGTTTAGGCAATTAATTTGTTTTTTGAAGACCTTGCTGGGCGTTATATTCATTACACTGTATTTTTGTGGATAAGGGGAAATTTTTCAAAAAACGTAATATTTTTTTTCAATTTAAATATGTTCAAATTTCAAAAACAAAGCAATATTGTTCGTCATACTCGTCAAAGAGCATCGGGAAAAATCAAGGCTTTTGTTTCATTCGAAATTTGACCAAAGAACAAAGTTTGGTGTTCTTAGGCCTGTAAAAATTTATCGATTTAGGCCTGTAACAATTTATCTGTTTAAAGGAAAAAAAATAGATGGAATAGTAAAGAGTGAGCAGAGGAGGAGTATATGTAAATTTGGTGTCAAAAAATTTGGTGTCAGAAAAAATTGGATGACCTCAAAATATGAAGCTTGAAAAAGAAGACAAAGATTAAATTCCAATTACCAACCAAACACTAAAATTACACAAAACAGTGCCATCAACAAAATGATTGATAGTTGTAAGTCGTAAGTAAATTGACTCTTTTTCTTTTTCTTTTTCCCTAAAAACCATCAATTTCATAGCGTAATGAGGGGTTTTTTAAGTTTACGTAAGACGAAATGAGCTTGTCATGGCCTAGTTGGTCCGCATGCCAGTTTTTGTGAGAATTTGGCAAGGCGAACAAAAACCTATTTATTAAAAAAGTCACATTTGGGGGGGGGGGGGGGGGGAGAGAAAAATGGACAGTAAAATAACAATAATTAAAGAAACAACATTGCTTGTTCCAATTTCCTCCTAAATAGTCTCCTAAAGTAAATAAAGAACGTTCAATGACCGATCCAAGGTGTAAACATTTGAGTCGAAATAATAAGTCTATTTTTTGCTCAATTTGGAGAGTGGGATAATGAGGACGCATAAACATTTGGCATATTGGAATATTAATTTTTTATTGAGCAACTTGCAACCCATTTAAGTCTTGTGCAAGCACACACGCTTGGCGATCCGAAGATTTCCAGAGCGATCCACATACCCTGTCGTTTTTTGTCAACACTTCGACTGAAAAAAAAACATCCAAAGCCAACATAATCCTCACCTTTTTAGGAATTCGATAAAATTACTTGTTAAGCCAATCTTTTTCATTATTTTCAAATTGTAAAATGTTTTAACATGCAAACCTTAGCCTGCTGGTTTAATTTGAAAGTTATCCCAAGCCAAATTGAAACCTGATTGAAAAAATGCTGGTCGTGTCTTTGCTCAAAATTCTTCCGTAGATTTTAAGCATTTGAATATTTGAAATAATTCATAAAGATTTTACATCCAAAACTACTTCGTTTACCAAGATGCATTTTTCAAAGACGACCAGCATTGTCTCGTAGTTTGAAATTGTTTGACTACTTTTTTTTTCAGAACTAAAAATTTTTAAAATGCTTCTAAGTTTTGGCATAATTTTGCCAGAAGTTTTGATTCCGCCGCTTTTGAATCTTGTCTAGAAAGTTGTATTTATATGCATACGTTTTTCGAACTTTTTCAAATACTTCTTCATTGAAGTTCTTTTATCTGTTTTTGCTGGTTGCGTTTCATTTGACTAGGCCCCAGATTTTAAATAAATAAAAAAGCCATTTAAGTTAATTAAATAGTTCCTCAAAAACCATCAATTTAGAAGAAAAAATTTTTAAAACTTTTTGCTGAAATTTTTTGCTTTAAAACAAAAAGATTTGCTGCGTTAACAGCGAACAAAATCAATTTCAGTGAATTCTCTGCTACAAAAAGTAGCGAGTCTGAGAGAAAACCGAGTAATTCATTTGTGGCAACCTTAATCAGAAACGTTTCACATTTTCAATTTTAAAATTTACAGCCGCTAACCAGCTTCCCCACCATGTGATCACAGGCCTTAGTGAAGATATCGATGTTAGCGTTTAATTTTGAAAAACAGTTGGTTTCCGAAATTTTCAGTTCTGGCAAATCAATCCTGGTCATTAACATAAAAATAAATCGAATACAGATTAAGCAGACAGATAGCGTTTCAATTAATGTCAGATCTCAGACGCATTTGAAAAACTTATCATTGCAAAGATACCAGCGAACAGTAACGATTTTGGTTGGTTGAAACATATCCATCATTCGGTCCCTCCATCATGATAATAGTGCCAGTTTTACTAATTCTTTTCAATCTTAGCTACCTATACAAATGTTTCCTATACCATTTGTTTATCGGTCGTTAACAATCCAAAGACATCAAATGATTTGCTAGCACTAAGTAGCTCAACTGTGCTGTTGCTATTATTCAAACAGTCAGAACTACCTATGGAGTTTATTCTAATCCATTTAATTTCAATTATCAGAAAAGTGTCAAAGGGGTCAATTACTATGAATAGCATATGCTTAATAAGCATAGCATTTGATTATTAATTTGTTTAGTTTAATTTCAGTTTCATTTCAGTTTTGTTCGGATTTCAAAAAAAAAACATTTAAAATGTTTTTCCTGGGAGACGAAAAACTGGCCTGAAATTTTTGCTATTCAATCTCAAAACTCAGTGAAAAAGGAAAGAAAATCGAGCATTGCTTTTGTTTTTAAATATGAAATTTTTTACTTCTCAATTGTTACCAAAAAGGCTTTCCAAGCTTGGAACACTTTAAATGTTGATTTTTCTGTCAATAATTATTGTTCTTGTAACATTGGTTCTACTTGCTTCTGTGATTGGTTTTCTTGGCAAACTGAAAACGTTAATATAATCGTAAATGATATAAAGAAATCATGAAAAGTCTGCAATATCGTCCTTTGATTAGAGACTTGCTGCAATAAGGAAGAAGGTTGGAATTTCAGGCAAAGATATTAGTGATGGTCATTATCAGTTTTCCGAGAAAGCAGAGCAAAAATTGGGTGTAATTTTTAGAATCTAAAAAACTCGATGTTTCGGTTGTACATAAATTATCCGACATAAAACAATCCCATACAAAACATCAGAAAAGTAGTAAAAAAAACAGTCGAAACAAAACAGTCGAGAACCATTTGAACCTTTTGGCCTTGATCTTTAGGAGACGACAGAATCGAACTTGAGATCAAAGAACTGAGATTAATAAAAGATCAAAGAACCGAAAATCGAACCTTAAATCAGATGAAATCAAGAGCTTTATTGAATAATGGTATGACTCAAAATTTAGAGGTCATTGGACTAAATCTTCGGAGGCGCAAAAGTTTTCTATTTTACCAAAAGAAAAAATAAAATTTGGTTAAATATGAAAACGTGTATCAACTCTAGCTCATTTTTTGAAAAATGAAAGAAAAATGTTGAAAGTTTTTTGTTAGGAGAAATTCAACAGTGAAAACAAGCAAACGTAAGTTTATAATTTAATGTCAGCTTTCTCTCGAAAATCCAAAAATTATTTTTGACTATTTTGTACTGGATTGTTCTGTATCGGATTGTTTTGTACAGGCACGGATTTTTCGCATCCTCCAGAAAGGAACGACTTGAATTTTTCGAGAATTTATCGAACCAATATAAAAAGTAAGATTTAAAAAAAGTTCTACTGATCACAACATTCTGTTTTTCAATGTGCTGTTCTTTGTTGAATTTAGTACGGTAACGACATTTTTTGAACATTGCTTTGAAACTCAAATTTTTAGTTTTTTTTTTCTAACAAAATATATTGCATTATTTATCAAAGTTGTTTCAAATTGAATCAAAACTCTAATTTCTATCAACTGTTCTGTTTGTGCGCTGGATTTGGTTTGTGCTTCTAAGTCTTCGTCTGAACTCGTGGTATGTGTTGATATTTGGAAATTCGTCGCAAATCCAATGGTGTTCATCGCAGATAAATGTATTTTTATACCTTAAATTGGAAACCTTAATGAATAAGTATACACAAAAGCTGACTAGATTTGTTCAAAATGAAATATGATGGTCAATAATTTTTTCAAGGATCAGTTTGGCAAAAATTTGCCAAAAATGGGAGTTTGACATTGTTAAAAGACTATTTTGTGATTAAAAAAAACAGTTTCAATTAAAAAAAAACGCTGTTAAACCTTTTTTTTTTCAAATACATTTTTTTTCATTCAATGTTTCTACTCTATCAACTGTAAATTTAAAACATACCAGTCAAAAGATAGGGTAGCCTGAATGGAATCGAAATCGAACACGAATAATTGATAATCTTGCTCGTAAGGTGGGAACATGTAGGGCGCCACCAGCTGGCTTCCTCGCCGCCTTAAGTTCCCTCGACCAAACCCAACCACAGAAATTAAATTCACGCAAAGGTCGAAGTCGTACTGAGCCTAAAAACAGTCTTGACATTTGAATACGTAACAAAAATTTGAAATATTCGAAAACTGGTTCATAAGTAGTAGCGAATTTAGGGGGAGAGGGGGGAAAACCAGCCCATAGGAATTATACTCCCTGCGCACCCAAAGGGTCCCACCTTTGGTACTATTTAGAACATCCTTATCGACTCTGGCAGACCCTATGCTATTTTTGAGGAGGCGAGGGGTGCGCCAAAAAAACGCAACTTTATTTTCATAAACTTTACAAAAAAATCCTCAAACATTTTTTCTGCAATTACACTTAGTATGTCGACAACAAAATTAACATGATTTTTATGAGTTGTAAGGAATACAATTTTTCCATAATTTAATAGTTTTGATTTTTTTAATATTTACTTTCTGAAAGTTTTTGGGTTGTGTTCGCAACCGAACACTAGCGACAAAGAACTTGGTTTACTCAAATCTAGAGTCACCAAAGGTGGGACGGTCTTCCATTTACAATGCATAGGAAACGACCTGAATTGTCTTATTGGTTGCTCATGCACGAGTGATATAATAAAAGTAACAAATTTTTAATGCGGCATCATTAAAATTTCAACATGTTCAAGAGTTTTCTCTGGATTCCAGAGACTTACATACACTAAATTGTGCGCTTATCCAGTGCAAAATTGGGCCTTGTAATGGAAAATGGAATGTAATCATCAGATTTTCCAGCGGATTAAAAGCGTTATCTATTGTTCGAGATCGAGTTTCCCAAACTGGGTTAGTTTTATCAAAAAAGCACCGATCATAAATTGATAATGAAAATGAAAGAGATCCAAGGGTATTTATTTTTTCTTTCAAATTCGCAAATTGAGTTTTTTTCAAAAAAGAAGTCAGTTTTTTTCTGTTTCTTTTCGTTCATTTCCAAATGTGCCCCTCTTTACCAAATTTAAGTTGGCTATGTTTTAATATTTACACAGTTCTCATTTAAAAGCAAGTACTACAAGCGTCTGATTTGCTCGTATCAAAACCTATTTCCAAAAAAGCAAATGTATTCAATTAGAATAAACTACAATGCTTGTCACTGCAAAGTAGAAGTTGCCTGGAATTTGACATTACGAAATTGACATTACCAAACTGCACTGGATAGACGCGCAATTTAGTGTTCGTTTATCTCTGGAATCCAGAGAAAAATCTTTAAACAAGTCAACATTTTGTTGGAGCAATCAAAGAAAACAAAAGAACAAAAGTAGATAAAAACGCAATCTATCCTCGCAATAGAACCCCTGAGTTTCACAGATGGTGTGATGGTCTTTTACTCCTTGACAGGGGTGAATATGCCCAAACCCCTTCCCTACTCGCCGTGGACTCGACCCCATAATTTGACCAAATATCTTTAGAATAAAGAGCAAAAAGATTTGTCTCGAAATATTGTCCTATTAGTATTTAGGGAGATCTCAGAAAATAAACTTTGCAGATCTAAAAGAAGTGTCGACAAAGCTTTAGATTTCTTAAAATAAAAATCACTTTTGTGCAAAATCCATGATATGCCGTGCTTCGTAATTGAATGGATTAATTTCATTGATCCAAAAACTTCTCAAATTTTATTTTAATCAGCAGAATACCTTAATTAAGTTGAGGTGTTTGTTGGCGCTTGAGAAGTCTGTTAATTTGTCATAGTAAACTCGTGGAGACAATCCTTTCTCTGATCCGAATCTGTTGTAGATTCCAATCTGATATGAACAACAACCTCCCATTTCTAGGAAAATAAATATTTTGATTCATTTTTTTAGTTAGTTCAATTTTTCTAAAAAAAAAGTTAAAATTTTTTTCTTCGATGGAAAAAAACAGCCTGAAATTTTTCCAGGTTTGCAGGAACCCACCCACTTTTTGTTGGAATTAAATCGTTTTATCATTTTTTCTAGGAAAAAAATTACTAGCCATTAGGACGGGTCGTAGAGAATGAGTAGAAGTTGATTTCTGGGTAATTATTATCGATCAAATCTAGGAATCTGAAGGCGTCGATATCAAGTGGGGGTCTTCTGGTTTGTTGTGTGTATACTATGAAACCGAGCAGGCAAAAATTATCACTGAAACACAACATAGGTTGAAAAAATTGAACGATTCGTAATTCAATTTATTCGGGCTAAACTGAAATTGACTCTCTCCATTTGTTTTTCGCTAACAATTTTTCTGAAATTTGTTTTTTTTCCCAGATAGTTCTACTCACTTCTTGGAAATTTGCCTTTCGATTTTCATATTTTTTTTCATACGGCGGTTTTTGTATTTCTTTTCTCAAAATACATATTCATTCACCGAGACATTTTCATCACACTGATATAGATTAGGAAAAAGTTTTAGTTGATGAAATTTATGAAGATATACTGACCTGAATACGGCGCATTTGGCTGATAGTATATTTCCGTGTTCAAACGGTGCTGCGAATACCAGCGATTGCCAGTCATCTGTCAATGCATCATCAGGCACGTACATCGATTGAGCTAGAAAAAATAAAAAATAAAAAACGTATAAAATTTGGAATTAAAACTATAAATTCTTGGAATTGAGAATTAAAAGGGCGACAAAAATAACTTCTGAGCAATTTTTTTTCTCGAATTTGCACTATTTTAATCTCTGATTTCTGAGTTGGAACCTACGAAAAATTTTGTTTGTATCAAAAACCTCTAAGTTTTGTTTGACCTTTAATTAATAACCTCTATTTTTTGCAAGGTTCAATTTTAAATGATAGTTTTATTTTCATTTTTGGGGTAGTTTTCGATTTTTTCAACTTTTCAAATCAAGGAGTCTCAAGCAGTTTTCTCACTAGCTTGTTTTTGTTTCATTGATAAGATAATTTTTTCAGAGTTTTTATAAATTTGAGACTGAAAATTTAAGAAAAGGACTAACCGACATTTAAAGTCAAAACAAAGAGTTGGATCAACATTTTGGCTTCTTGGTTATGAAACTTCAAATTCGTAATTAGTTTACTAAAACTGACATGTTTGTTGTTTCTACTTATTTACAAAAAAAGTCGAGTTCAAAGGTGATTTAAGAACTTGACCTTTCCAATCTATTGTTCTCGGCCTCAATTTGAGAAAACGCAAAAATAAAAAGTGACTAAGAAGAAATTATTGATATTTAAGCAGCTATGAAAATCAAACAAAAAAATTGTGAATAGAAAATGAGATTCACAGCTTCTGAAAACTTGCGAAGCTGCAGATATTGTAATTTTGTTTGAAGCGTCAGATAATCGAAAAGTTATGCCTGAAAAAAGTATTCCGACCGTGAAACAAGATTATTAGACCAGTTTTGTTAGGACCCACAGTCGTCAAAAATATTACAGCCAAAATGAAATTCAATTTTTTTTGCCAAAAATACGCATACAACTTTGTCAGCTTTTACCAGGCTAGATTCTAACAAAAAAATTGGATATGGAGTAACTTTCCGTTTAAGGTAGCAGGTAAGCACGATAGGCGCGCGTCGCCGCTTTGCGGGAATAACCGGCTCTAAGTTCTGACCCCTGATGGCAGATTCGCAATTTTTGAGGCGACTGCAGCGGTCATTATTAGATATTAAAGCATAAAATTTTAAGCAGGAAGTTAATCATTATTTGGCACTTGAACCAAGTTTTGTTTGAATTGACTGTGGCTCAATTTTCTGTATATTTTAGCTGAATAGTCTGAACTTTATAAGGCTGAATTTTCTTTGTCCGAATTGTCTGGACCTGTTTTTGAAGATAGAAACAAACTATGAATTTAAAAAACCTCAAACCTATTTTTAATATTTGAAGTTTTTAAGATATTGCGAAATTTTTTAGCCAGCGACAACTCTACCAAAACAGTTTTTGCTCAGGATTCCAATGCGAGGTCAATCTGTTGATTTTGTGAAATGTAAGTGGACTCCGCAACAGTGACGCTCTCTTTGATTTTAATTTGTTCTTTCGTTTTCTTCGATCATTCCGACAAAATTTGTTTCTTATTCAATGCACATTTTGGCCTCGTAAGGACGTTGTCAGTTAATCCATGCAAAACACAAATACAAAACTGCTTCAGCAATGCTTGCTTTTCTTGTTGTTGCCCGTGTTTACACAGAGTCTTTGTCTGAGGTTTTTTGTTTTTTTATTTTTAGAACAAAAGTTGGCTCAAAGTCTTTCCAAAAACTTGAAAAAAGAAAAAAGATAGATGTTTTGAATTAACCACAATTTCATCATTTTTACAACAAATCTGAAAACAAAACAAATTTTTCCGGGATAAATTTCATCCATAATTAAAGCAAAGAAACAAAATCAGAATTTGATTGAAAATTTATAAAATGATTTTCTCAAAAATTGAGGTTTGTCATGGAAAAAGTTGCAAAAAAACCTTACGAAATTTCTGTAACAAAAAGAAAAATTGGTGTTCTACAATTGTGACTCAGTTCAGAAAAAGTTGAAAAATTTACTTCTTTGTTAAATTGCAATTCTTCGTAAATTTTGTGTTATTTCTAGGCCGAGAATTTTCAGCTTTACACGTTACCAAACCAAGAAAAATCCGTATGCTTTAAAATTTTTGTGCCCAAATTTTTTAGTGAATAACAGATATTTCTTTTGAGTTACGAACAATGAAAAGAGTTTTTATAGGAGCGAGGTTCAAAAGTTTGATTTTTTTTTCACCAGATTTGTTCAATTCCGGGTCAAACTTGATTTTACTATTATTCAAAATTAGTTTTACTATTGTTAAAACTTTAACTACTCGAAAATCTTGGCCTGTTTCTCTTTCGACAAAATAGAGTGTATCTCACAGTTTAAAAGGATGAAGTTTTCAATTAGTGATTCGCACAAAAGTTTTTATTATCGTTTTTTCTTTCAGACGAAAAACCCAGCCTAGACTACCTTATAGACAAAAACAAAAAAAATGCATGCATTCGAAGAATGTTTATTTCAATTTTAAATATTTTCTGAAACTAAAAATTGCTTATTATACAATTTTCTTTATACTTAAATGAAATTGTACGATGAACATTTTTCCATACACTCCAAATATAAAATTGTACGATATAGTTTTTTCTTGTTTGGAATTATATGATGAGCATTTTTCGTGTATGGAGGTCAACCCGGTTAGTGGGTTTACAAGGTTGAAATTGGAAGCCTAAAAAAGTTTGTCATGGCCTTATTAGTCCGCGTGTCAGCTTTTATATCAAACGGATGATGCGAAAAAATAATTATTGTAGAAACTCACATGTGGGGGTAAAGGAAAAAGTGCCCAATTTTTGATGCAAATTTTTGTCGTTTTTTAGCTTTAAAACATTTTTGAGGCAGCAGCAATAAAAGGGATGAGGCAGTTTGAAAAAATGATCTTTTTATTTTTTCGTGATCTCACTTGACTGTGCTACTCGCTCTGCGACCGATTAATCAATTTGTTCCGGCCACTATAAATTTGGAGGAACTTCGATTTCAATTGCCTTGTTAAACCAAGCATATTGAGATACAATTTTCTTTATACTTAAATGAAATTGTACGATGAACATTTTTCCATACACTCCAAATACAAAATTACCATCTATTGTAACATCGCCGATTTTTCAATCGTGATTCGAGCTGCAATTATATGGGAATTGTATGATAAGCATTGTTTTCAAAAAACGAAAACCTCGGTTTTTTAGCAGACTGTTTTATTAGAATCAAACAGCCACAGAAATAAGTTTATATCTTTTTTCAACCATTTTAAGAAATTGTATGAAAATTGTGTGACAAGCAATTTTCCACACACTTGATGTATGGAATTGTATGATAAGCATTTTTGGTGTATGGAGGTCAACCCGGGTTAACAGTTTCTGAAAATTTCCTAGTTATTGTACGAAAACGGTTCATGTTTGGTCGGTAGTTTTTTCGAACAATTTAGAGCAAAGAAATGATAAGTTATATCAGTATGAAGCATCATGCAGAAATTTGAATATAATTAAATAAGCCAACTCCAAAATTGTTATTTAAAAATTAATTTTTGAGCTTTTGAAATTTTGTGAAGATTAGTATGGTCGATCAATTCTGTCACACTTCCACGGAAAACAGCCCAGGATGACCGAAACTTCTTATCATACAATTCCCATATATGAGAAACTTCTTGCCATACAATGCCATACGTACAGAAAATTGTATGAAATCTCTATGATAATCATTTTTCCATAAATGAAAATAGTATGAAAGGTGTTTTACGATAAACCAAAAAGTTTGATTTTTTCTTTCTAAATATATTTCTGAAAAATTTTCGGTTGTGTTTGCACCCAAACGCAAGTGACAAAGACCTTGGTTACTCAAAGCACCAAAGGTTGTTCGGCCTTTGCATTTACAATGCATAGAAAACGACCTGATTTCGGCTGTCTTTCACAATTGATATAACAAAAGCAACAAACTTTTGTTTTTTGGCAAATTTTTTTAATGGTCATTATTTTAAATTTTTGAATTTTCTAATTATCGGACATTGATCAAGGCATATATAAACACCCCCATACAAAGGAAATAAGAATTTTCAGCGTTTTTGAAGAAAAAAAGTTAAGTCAAAAGAAAATAAAAGCCAATATTATCGTAACCAGGACTACGTTATGCACACAAAAAAATTAACTTTTGCATGCAAAATTTTTTTTCGAAAAATGTTTGTTTGCGTACGAAATTCGATTTGCGGTTGAAAAAAAAAACAAAAAGTTTTCGGGCCAAATTTTCAAAATTACTTAAAAAATTTTTGTGTCGCCATCAAAAAATGCCAGTCATACAATTTGCATATATGGGAACTGTATGATAAGCTTTTTTTTCAAAAAACGAAAACCTCGGTTTTTTTACCAGACTGTTTTATTAGAATCAAACAGCCACAGAAATAAGTTTATATCTTTTTTCAACCATTTTTAGAAATTGTATGAAAATTGTATGACAAGCATTTTTCCACACACTTGATGTATGGAATTAAATGATAAGCATTTTTGGTGTATGAAGGTCAACCCGGGAGTCATTCTTGTTTTTTTTAGACAGACAGAACCGACCAATCAGAGCTCCATGCTAGCCCGGTAGGCATTTCTTCCCTGGGAGGCGATGATGCCATGTTGACATTCCCAGAATTCCTCCAATTTCAACAAAACACGGACGACAAAAAGACGCAGAATAAAAACAATAATAACAACAATGAAGAGGAGCAGCTGGAAAATATACTCGACTTCCCAGAAGTAAGCTGGAGCAAATTTCGACTTTTTCCTTAAGTTTTTTTTTACAAAAACCAACCGGTTGAAATATAAAAAACGGCCCTGAAGCACAAAGTAATTATCTCAGTTCGTATTTATAATTTAAAGTCAACTGTTTCAGAGTAAAGTAGAAAATTCGAACTGGAACACCCATCGTTCAAATTACGACTACGGCAGACATGCTCAATTTGCACCCAGTTACAGCCCTCTTGCGGCCCAATTGCTGAATGAGATCAGACAGGAAGTGAAACAACTGTCGGAACAGAGAGCTGCTTACGTCATCCAGTCACAAGTTAGTTTTATGTTCTAAATTCGGAAAAAGAATTAAATGGCATGTTAAAACTTTGTAATTGCGGCGAAAAAAATAAATAGATAATCTAATTTCGATTGCAATGCATTATATAAAAGTGGAAGATTTAATATGTCTATCTGGAATCATAAAAAATACATCTAAAACTCGTTTTGTCATTTTCGGAACCAGCGGATTTAGGGTGGGGCGGTGTCGGCGGGGGATGGGGGGGTGTGATGCGACGCCTCTCTCCTCAGAGTTTTGACCCCCTGCCGACGCAAAAGGTTCCCATTTTGTACTATTTTGAGATATCCATTTTTGGCTGTCTGACCATGAAATTTTTCTTAAGGCTCATTCTAATTTTGAGGGGGGAGCGCACGCCGAAAAAACGCAATTTTTTGAATAAAAATTCCCAAAAAGTGCCTAAAAACACCTTTTTTGGCCTGTTTTTCAAAAGTTGGAGAAAATCCTAGATCCGCCCCCTAATTTTAATTCAAAGATAATCTGAAAGTGCCCATTTTTGTATCCTAATTCATAATGAAAAAAAAACACTCATTTTAAAGTATTTATTTTGATGTGTGTTCGTTGCTCTCAGCTTATTATCCAGGAAAAAAGCAAGACATATTTAACAGTATTTCTCTGTTATCTAAAAACTAAATTTTTATTTTTAAATTGTAAATGGAAGCAAATTTGAGTTAACATAAAACCATCGTGGGATTTACTGATCGTGAAAAGACAAAAAAATATAATTTTTTTTAAAAAATTTTTTGTTCAGTGTGATATAAAAACTGAGTAAAAATTATAATTAAACCTTATCAATAAAAAATCTACTTGCATTTATTTATAAATTGAATTTCAATTATTTTTTTCCAGTGTGGCAACGTGTGTGAGTATTACCCCACCCAGGGCCTGCCTGGGTTCCTGCTGGACACCAGAATGGACCCCTTCCCCCTCTCCCACGGATTCAATCTCAGACTGAGAGACCAGATGATTGCCAACCCCTGGACCCAAATTAAACTCAACAACTTCTACATCGTTAGTTGGACTTTTTTGAAATGCAAAATAACTTGTTTAAGAAAAGTTTTTTATGCAAAAGCCTAATTTTTAGACAAAAAAAGGTCTCAAATTCGCTGGAAAATTCAAATTTGCCAAAAATGGCAGATAGGTTCTTTTTAATTAATTTTAGAGGTTCTAAGCTCTACCTGTGCCAAAAATTTGGCCATAACCGAGGAGTTGAAATTCAAGTAATTGTTTCCCCATCCATTTCCTGTTCAATGCGGGTTTTCACCTATGCGATGTAACTCTGAATATTCCTAACTATAGATTTAGTTTCGTTCCAGCCCTCTGGCACTGGAAGCTTCATCCGTGGCTTCCGCCTGTCCAACCTGCTCTCCAGTGACGTCACAGTGCCCCTCAGCGGAGTCTACTCTCTCTCCCTCTCCCTCCATTTCAGACTGTCAGTGGCCGACCTAGAACACATTCGGCTAAAACACAACGTGGTCGTGTCTATCCTCGCAACAGACTACGTGTATACAGAGAGAAAGTGAGTATCAATTAGACGAAATAGCAAAAGTGTCAAATAAGCAGAAAATTTGTCGTAATTTTTGATAATATAAAGTGACGAGCAAGTTTTTTTCTACCTCACGTTAAAAGCAAATGTCGCTGAATTAGAGCACAATCCACTAGAGCACAAACGTAGATGTGTCTGTTTTTGCTACGAGTTACGTGTTTTCAGAGAGGAAGAGTAAATATCAATTAGACTTAATCGAACAATTTTTCACATAATAAAAATAACACAAAAAATATATTTTAAGAAAAAACAACAAAAAATTATACTAATGACGAATTGTTCTCGGATACAGATTGTTATAATAATTGAGTATAAATCATCATTCACCAAGCATTGAACTTGGATCGATGCTGTTGGCTTTACTGCCTGTTTAAATGCGCCCTGTGAGAATTTTCCCTGTTTTTTTTTGCCTGGGGATTTTAATTTTTCAGAATTCATTTTCAAAGAAAAATATTTCATCCTAAGGAAAGTTGTCAAAGAATTCGGAAAAAAATGACAAAAATCTTTTAAATGAAATTTTCCCTGAGAAAAAAGTTAGAAACCCAACTACGTATATATAGTTTTGTAAACACCTCAGAGTCTAATATATAACTAATTTTTTAATCGATATTAAAATTTACCTTCTGATCAATCAATATCATATAAAAATTTAAGTATTGATTCGAATTTTAGAAAAAGTGTTTTTAATTTTTGTACTCGTGTTGCTATCATTTTTTCTATCGTTTTTCCTAAAATGTTGCTATCGTTTTAAAAAAGTTATTTTTGTCAAGCGTACTCTGCTGAGTAATTTTTGAATTCTGTTATCTTTTTTATCTGAATCACACTTAGGAAGAAATAACTCATTCACATAGTCGAAAGTGTGCTCATATCGTACAATTCCTGCTAACAATTCGAATATCTTGTACATATTTATGTCGAAAATCGAGAATTTTTCTAATTGTTCTACGCACTTCAGATTTTCTGGATCTAATTACAATGTAATAGAAAATTTTGTTATTTGCAAATTCGCTGCTCCATTTTGCTGCTGCATAAATGAGGATGTCAAACTGTTACAGCGGCTGAACAAAAAACAATAAACAAGAATAGCATGCATCAATTTCAAGTTTTTAATAGTGAATGGGAAAGAAAGTTTTATTTGAACCTTTTTTGATCAAAATTAAAAGCCACTACGGCAAAAAGCCTTTTTTCTTTTTCAAGAAACTTATTTTTGATTTTTTTGCTTTATAAACTCAAGAGACTCACCATTCCGTAAGTTTTTAACGTATTAGGCTACCTTTTACTATTTGTTTAGGCTACTTACAAATTTTATTTATTGTCATTGAATATTGAGGTGTAAGTATCCCTCCTCTTGCTTTCCTATTTTTTTCACTCGCTTTTTGATTTTTGGTCGATTTTCAATTTTTTTTATACAGCAAAAACGGCAGAATTTTTGGGAATGTTTGCTTAGCAACCAACAATTCTTAGTTTATTTTTACGATCCTTTTTTTTCTAACCTATTTTTTTTCTAGCCTAAATAAAAATGTTCATTAAAAGTGTTCACTTATTTGGAAATTTCACTGTAGCATTGGAAAATGCATAGCATCTGTTCTCGGCTCTGTGGCTAGTATTTGGTGCCTATCAATCTTCCGTGGCTGAGTGGTTAGTGAGTGAGACTCGTAATCCCTTGGTCACAGGTTCGAATATCAGAGGATGCCGAATTTTTACTAATTCGAGGCTCATTTCTAATTTTTATTATTATTGCACATTATAGAGCTGCTTTTTGTCGTGTTCTCGCAAGAGTTTAAGAAGCGATGTTTCGCATCTGTGTAAATTTTCACTTTGTTGTTCAGACCCAGTTCGCAGTACTTGTCGACCATTCCACAAGCGAAGCAGTTCACAGTACATTTCTCCACAACACTTTACCTGCAGGTATAACACCTTTTATAATTACTTTTGACTACTAACTAATTTGAAGGTGAGTTAACTGGTTATATCAAGTGTTTACTTTTACATATGATGTCTAATATCTATGAATAAATCAGGTAATATTTTTGGTACATGCTTGTGACTTAATAGTAATACAACATATTTTTTTACCACAGGTGCAATCTTTTATAAATCGATTTGACAAGCAAATCATTTTTAGGTCGAATTAATAAGATTTATCAAGTATTTATTCCACGTATGAAGCCTAATATACTCAAAATTATTTGTTACGATTTTGTTATTACAATGTTTGGTACCTGCTCGTGGCTTGATAGTAATACAACATTTTTTTACTGCATGTACCATCTTATTATATACTTTTTACAAAAGTAACGAACTTATATATCAAAATAAAATGTATCAGCTGTTTTTTTTCGACATATACAGTCTAATATAATTGAATGTATCACAAATTTGCGCCAAATTTGATACCTGCTCGTGGCTTGATAGTAATGCAACAAATTTCTGGACTACAAAAACAACTAAAGAAGGAAATTTATCAGTTTGTGTTACGTATTCAGATCGATTTGCGCAGAATCAATTTGGCTTTAACGAAATTCGTTAATCATCTTTTTTTTCAAATTTGTTTCAAAGTTTTTCTTAATAATCTTTTCTCTTTTAGGCCGGCACTCCTCTCACAGTGGAAGTTGAAAACGCATCCAAGGTCAAGGTCATCATCAAAGAAGAGAGTGAATTCTCAGCACATCTCATTGGGGCGTAATCTCTCTTTGTTATAACCAGCAGAGTTATAAATCTTAACTTGAATCCACACAATCCCAATCTCAAGTTTCGGGGAAAAAGTGTAATCTTTATTGTTGATTTTGGATTTATGGGATGTTTTCGTAGCTTATGTTTAGATAAATCACCTACAAGTGAAGTTTCATTCATCTTTTCAGATCTTATTGCATATTTATTGTGGTTCGTTGTTCATCAAATTTTATTATTGCTTCAATTGTCTGTTTTGATTTGGCCTAAATCCCATTTAGGACCAACCAGATTTGACTTCTTAATGTAAACATAGAGCTACGGCCGTTAGTGTAATTTTCTTATGCGATGTCCAGTGATCGACACCAAATTTAATCAATTGACACCCTTTTAGTCATAGCTTGATAGATCCAAAGCTTATGCTTTTCAATTTAATTCACAATTTTTTTTCGAGTGATATTTACTTGTTCCTGATTCCGTTAAAAATGATAAAATACAAAATTTATATCCAACGAAAAACTAAATTTTGTTTTCTCAATTTTTATAAGCTTAATCCGTGTCACTGAAATAACAAACAACCACCTATTTTGATATTTGACGGCCGTATAAAATTTTTCAAAAATATTTAAAAAAAGAGCTATTTTTCTAGCACAGCTAACAAAGTAAAACATGAAAACTGTGATTATACTGACAAAACAACATAAACATTAACATTGATTAACGTTTTTGCAAAAAGAATCTACATAACAGCTACTGTTATCAAAACTCTTGAGTTTAAGTTGAAGCAGAAGAGTTGGAGGCTAACTGTCGTGGAGGATACCTTATACAAATCCAAGATTGTTCTTCGCAAATCACGTTTTGCTTGAACCAATCATAATTCAGCTGCTCCTTGATTCGTTCGGGTGGAAAAAAGTGAATCAATCCATTGTCGTTTGGAGTCAAAACGAAAACTGCGTTGTGAATTTTGCCCCGAAATTTCATCCGGCCGCTGCCAAAACCCACACCTTGTATTATGTTTACACAAAAGAATTTGTTGTATTGTGCCTGAAACATCGGTAACTTTACGTCGGTTCCAAAAATTTTCATAACTTTGTTTTTCCTTGATTGTGCAAAAATCCCATTTTCTTCAACTTATATGCATTTTTTTTCAGATTTCCAAATAATAACAGGATTACTGAAAAGATTTGGAAAAAATTCTGTTTCTTGAATGAGAAGAATATTCAGTTTCTTTAGTCTTGGGTTTAATTTGAACCCATTTGCCTGCAAATGGGTTCAAATTTTTTTTCAACGTTTTTTTTTAGAGTTTTGACTTATCTAAAAATTTTGTGGACATTGATTACAAATGATTTTCTGATTTCACTGTCATAAACTCTTATTTCAAATTTGAAAAAAAACTTTTACATTTCTGCAACTGCACTCCCTTCGTCAACAAAACCATTGAACAATAGTAACTCAGTGTTGAACTCAGTGCTAAAATTCAAAGAACTTAATATGACATCAGTTTTTAGAATCGAACAATTGTCAACTTTTGAAAAACACCAGATGTGTTTTTCTCGAATTTAACGTTTTATCGATCCATATCTTTTTTTTATCGCTCTAGCCAGTCCGATTGTGATAAAACATTTAAAATTTATTAGGATACTGAACAGAAAAAAATCTGTTTAATTGAAACGCAAATCAGGTCAAGGAAGGATAGTAGGTTTCTGAGCAATTAAAGAGACTGTTTCGACCTTTCTTTAAAAAAAAACAGAAAAAATACTATATGTTTTTTGTGCATAAAGTGATGAGAGATCTAACCAAATGCGGGAACAGTTAGTAAGGTAGTCATCATCCACAAACAAAAAACAACATGAAAAAAAAACAATAAAAAAAAGAAAAAAATCAAAGTTTTCTGCTGAATAGTTTTATACAAAAAGATGCTGTGAAGGAAGCATTGAATCAAGTTTTCAAAATCATTTTCATTGTGTCATTCTTGCTCGCTTGCTTTATTTGCTCAAATAACGACTAAAAATCAATTAATTTCAATTTGTTTGTCTCAACACGAAGAAAAGTTTTTGAAATTTTCATAAAATCGTTTGAATGCAGACTGCAATTAATTCAAAATGATATATAACTCGAACCATCCCAGTCATTATTTGTGGTCTAACGTTTTTGGTTGAAAAAAGCTTGCTTGTTCATTTTTTGTTCTCAAAATTAGACCAAAATCAAGAAATGGTGACTTGTTTATCTGAAAAAGAATGAAAAATTATGGAAAATAACTAGTGAATGAAGTTCAATCAAAACTTTGATCTAACATGTTTGATTTTGTTTTGTTTCTACATTATACATTTTCTTGAGTTTTCAGTAATGTGATGTGGTTTCAGAAACTTAATGCTTTCTGCGCTTTATTTCGTTTCACAACTGAACTCATATTGTGAATTTTTTGGTCAAGACTTTTATTTTTAAGGTGAAAAAGTCTCAGTCAAACAAAAAAAGTTAGCGTCGAAAGTATTATTACTACTGTTTGCAAGTGCTTGAACTATTAATGAAAAATTTTCATCCAAAAACTCTTCAACTTAATTTTTTATACTTGATTTTTTTCAAGAAGGTTATGTGTTGCTTCTTGAATCTTCTTAAAGTTTAGTTTAGATAGGCTACTTGCTTAATAGCTGGATTATTGTTTGCAATAAACAACCAAATTTGAATGTAAGTTGGCTTTCAATATTGTTTTTCTTGATTGTCAGCTTCTATTGAAAGCTGATTTATCATTGTTTTATTATAGATGGCAAGAATTTGATCCCTTGTTGACTCTTTACGAGCATTGAGTTCCAATATAGGATGAAGTTCAACGTTCTCAGCATTTTGAATGACAGTCTTTCTTATTGCCGACGTTGCTTCTCCTTCTTTTTTTGCCAAGACAGACTTGCTGTTGTTTCTCAATTTGTTCCATTTCATTCGTCTTGAATAGTTGAAAGCACGATTCACTGTAATTCTCCCCTTTTAGGGTTTTTAGTAATTCTCCCCTTTTAATATTTTGAATAAAAGAGCGAACTGATCACATGATGAGAATTGAAAAAATATATATATTTTTTGAGATTCCAAGAAAGTTGAAAAACTCAACAGTACGAGTCATCTTGATCACCATATAGGTTAGGAGGTAAGTTCGTTTGTGGATTGTTTTGAACGAAGTTTTCAGAATGGAGACTAATTAGGCAATATTTTTTTGTAAATCTCTTCATTTCTATGTATATGTCATTTTTATAGATGGCAGCTAATATGCAATAAGGAAAAAATATAAATTTCTGTTTCCAAAGAGTTTTTAGAAAAAAGACATAGAAACCCAAGATTTTTCCTTGCTCAGGTTGCTCAGGTTTTCTTACGTAAAGAGGGGAAAGATATGGGCGTTGCTTTTTTAAGAAACTTAATCATTTTCATAAAACTTGTTCAGAAAAATTCTTGAGCTGAACTTTAGGTACGAAATGTTCAACGATAACAAGGAAATGTTTGTCTGCTAAACTTTTTCCGGCTCACTAGTTATGTGTTTAGATATTAAATGAATTAGGAAATAATCAAAAAGTATTTAACTTTTTTTGTGAATTTGATATTAAAAAAGTCATTTTCTTCAGTGGAAATCTGATTGGTTCATTGTTATTCATGAAAAAACTACATTTTTTCTATTAAGTTTCAAATTTGCTTCAAACTGAATACAAACACAAGCAATCACCGAGGAAAGGTTGAACTGCACAAAAATTTTTAGAATAAAGTGGTTGACTTTTTTGAGTGCACCTTTTCTCCACAAACTTGACTACATTTTTGGTGTCTTCTTTTAAAACAAACAAATGCAATTATTAAAACTGTACTAGAAGTGTTTTCACTCTCATCAACTGGACAAAAAAGTACAACTGGATCTGTGGAGTCCCGATTGATTGATTTTCAAGTTTGAAGAAAAAACCAGTCAAGTTGTTCAACAGCATGGGAAAACTTTGAAGTATTTGAAGAAGAAGCAAAAAACTTATTATGTTTTGAACAAGAGACGAAAACGACTTCAATTGTTTTTTAGGGTGTAAGAAAAGTTTCAATTTTGCAAACTTTTTAAGCCAGATGCAAAATATTGTTTCAATGTTTTCAACAAATTCATCAAATCAATTGTAAAATTTAAAACAATTGCGGATTTCTTATTATGTTTTGCCTTTTTTTCTGAACTAATGATTTTCGAATGACCCCATCTCCTCCCAAAGAAAAGAAGTCGTTGAATGATTAGGCCATATATCTAGAACCAAAAATCTCGGGATTGTTCATTCCAACATGCTTAGAATATTCCTCAATTATTTGCATTGATCTAATTTAGTTTTTTGCAGTTCGGCCTTGAGTTTTTTTGATGCTAGTAGAAATCTCTTCTCATTAGTTCCTTCATGTGCCAGACTTGAATTGGGAGATCTGTTTCAGGTCGGAAGACACCAAATCATGTCTTGCGAACTTGTAATTTGAACATATTGAGTGAGACTTCCACTGAGTACAAGAGATCATGTTTCGTACAGAGAAAAAAATAATAAGTAGCTGACGTTTTTTTTATTGGAGGAGTATGTTGAGAAAAGGAGTAGCTGAATAGAAAACAAAATACTTTTAGTTTAGTTGTGAGGTTTTCCTTCAGCTCAGATATGTTGGTTTAACCAATCAGACAATTATCCTAAGAAACATGTGTAGTTTTATCCAATCAAGTCTAAACGGTGTGTTTTTTCTTTTTTTTTCATCACAAATTCACGTATCGCAATTAATCATCGGACTGGATTGAGATATATCATATTAAAACCCTTTTAGACGTGATTATTATCACAATAAAAATTTTCCAAACTTTTTCCCAAATCGAGAAAAAAACGGTGTGAAAATTTAGATTTTACATTTAATTTTGAAGGAATAAAGCCAGCGAGCATACTTATCAATAAGCTGTTTGCTTTTGCTTTATTAGAATTAAATGAGATTTGGAATTTTGTAACGCCTTTTTTATGAATCAAAAATTTCGAAAACTCAAAAATTTTCTTCAAAAAATTTGAAAAAACTAATTGTTTGATTTGTTTTATGGTTACAGTGCTGTTCTACGTCACTGGAATCCATAGACTAATATTTTAAATTGCTCCAAATTGTAGGTAGGTTCAAAGAAAAAAACTTCCGTGCACACTGCGCTCAAATACGCATAAAGTGATTTTTTTTCACCACATTTTTTGTCGCCGATGCTTCACAGGGCGAAAATAGCTAGTTATTCCTGATTCTGCAAGTCCAAATGGATTAGCAACTGTGAAAGGATTCAGCAGACTTTGCTACAATCCGCAGATTCTCCTTACAAACTGGGAATTACGTTTACAGTTTGCGGATTTCGCTTGCAATTTGATGATTCTGCTCACAAACCGCGGCTTACGCTTACATTTTGCAGTTTGCGCTTGCAGTTGTGGATCCCGCGACAGCGTAATTTTACTAGACTCACATAATATTATTTGTTTGTGGACAAAATTTTCCGCCTTCCGTGCTTTAGATATTATTTTGTGGATTGCAAAACAGCAAAGAAGATAAAAAACTAGCGTTGTTGAAAACAACTGTTTTCAGTTTGTTGCGGAATTCTTTTTCAGTTCTCAAAATACACAGTTTGGCCTCGTAATATCGTAAAACTTTTTACAGTCATCTTGGGGTAATTTCGACAAAATCAAACTGGTATTATTTGTGACTATATCCAACATCCTCAATTATACGTTTTATAAGTTTTTCTGGTTGTCAACTTATACTTCATCAAAGCATTCTTGTTTGTTCATCTTGCAAAGTCCTTGTAAGATTTTGCATGATCGTCAAATTATCATTATCTTGCAGTAACTTAAAGATAATTTTGAAATAAAAAAGGCCCGTTTAACATATACATGTCTTGTTCTAAATGAGATGACTTTTTGATTTTTTTGAAAGCTATTTGTTAGACCACATACCAGTAGGTAGTTTAATAAGAAAAAAATAATAACAATCTCACATGTATCAAGTTCAACTGTTTTCCTTCGGCACTGAAGTTTGTGACAGAGTGAACATATTCGATCGGTGACATTCCATTTTTGGTTCCAAACTTATGATAGACAGTCATTTGATTGAAACAGCACGACCCCACCTCTGAAGAAAAAATGAAAATAAACTGCGGATCTCGTCTATCTGCCTTCCTTTGCAAAAGAGAGGCAAATATGCATAAATATATGCATAAATATTTGGCTTGAAAGGGTTCATTATATCCATATATGCATAAATAGCAGACCCAGTGGTGTACAAACTTTTAAAAATTATTTTTTTAAAAATTCGTCAATTCGATAGTATTTCACCGCTTTAATTTCACCGATTGTTTGTAATTTTTACAGCTAAAAACCAAAAAAATGTAAGCGGCCAATTTGTTACAAGATATAAACCGTAAGTACACTTAGCCGTTAAATTCTTTCTTAAAAGGGTTAAATCGTTACAAGGTACCAGATGTGAATTATTGACAAGATCCTCAATTGCTCCTAACTTTCCTTCTCAGATATCCAATACGCTATGATACGAAGATAACAGCGCGATTCTCTACATTACCAAAAACATTATAAGTTATATTCATGTTTTACTGCTGTTTGCCTCGGTTTTCCCTGTTATTTCGACTTCAAAAACTGGTTCTGTTAGATCGACGAGTTCCTGTTTGTCATGTAATAAATTTGGAACTTCGATCCTGTCTTTTGCGAATACTGCCATTTCGACAATTGCAGCCCACTTGGACCATTCTAATGGCGGTTCCGCTGAAGCTCTTTCCCAAAATGGATCAAGGCTAAGTGGGTTTTTTGTAACTCCTGCTGGTTGCGCCATGTCATACCGTATGGTATCATCGCTATTGATATTGAATCCGAACAGATTGGTAAACTAGGATTAGCTCCAACTGAGAGCACAGATAAAACATCTAGTTTGTAAAGTCTTTATTTATGTTCTGAACGACATCTCTTAATGTTATGCTTTCAAACCATCAGGCAAGGTAAGCTGACCAGCTCAACGCAGTGAGCTTATAACAATATCTAAATGAGGTTCTACTTTGGCAATCCGGCCGGCTGTTAGTCACTCTCATGAAAATCATAATATTGAACTTTGAGTTTTTTAAGGTCCCAGTAGGACCGGAGTTCTTCGCAAGGACGGTGTTGAGTTCTTAAGTCCCAATGATTACTTTTTTATCTTCTTGTTGTTCGACGGCCTCGTTGTCCTGTTCATCTTTGTTCTGTTGTTCTTGGTGTTCCTCGAGGTCATCTCTTCTGTCGTCGTGGTCTAAATTTGTGAGTTTCTTATTTTGAAAATTCGTAACGACGAGAACCTCCATGTTTTCTGTTTTCTGTGGGCTTTCTGCAGTGGACACCAAATGGGAAATCTCTCTTTTCTGATTGTCTTCTTCTTCGCTTTTTGGTCGTATGGCTTCCAGAAATTGGACACAAGCTTTGTATTCTGGCGATTTCTCATGAAAACCCATTTCAGAGATAAGACTACTGAGGCTAGATTTGAGTTCGGGTTTTGATGTTGTTGTTCTTTGGTCGTGGCGGCTTTTTCGTGTCTTATCTTTGGGCGATCCTATTGAAAACTTCTTTGATGGTGATTGTACGATGTTTCCAATTGCATTTATTGATTTTGAACGCTTCAGCGATTGCCAACATGGAAAAGTTGTCTCTTTGTAATTCCTCCAAGCCATTCTGTGATGTAAATTCGGCCGGGTCATTCTCCTCTATGTTTCCAGATTAATAATCATCAGCACTAGGGTGGTCGTCGTTATTGTTTTGTACAAGAGAATGGCACTCTCCGATCTACAGACCACTGCGAAATGTCCCCGTTTTGCACATTTTGCACAAATTTTGTTTCTTGCTTGACATGTCCGAAAATGGAAAGATACAAAAGTTTTTCCGCACTTATAACATCGTTTTTGTGACGAGTTATTGTGTGAATTTCTGCTGTGATTTCCGCGTGCAATTTGTCTTCCTCGCGAGCATTTGCCTCTATCATTGTAGGAAATTTGTGGTTGTTTACCCCGGCCTCGAGGTTGAATACACCTCATTGGCTTAATTTTTATTTGAATGGGTGATGGAATGGATTTGATTTCATAGTTCGGCTATCCTCGATACCTTTTTCGCGTCTGATAGCATATTTATATGCATCCTGTGACGTGCGTGTTTCTGCTATTAGTTCCTCTGCGATTTTTTGTTGTTCATGTGTGCTGTGAACATATCGCGAACCCATTCATCCTCTCGGTCTCCACGGACTGCTCGTGATGCAAGTTCTACCAAGTCAGCGTGGATTTTTTCTAACGATTATTTTTTTTCTGTTTACGGCAAATAAATTTGTCTCGGTCAAATGCAAACTCTGTGTGATGAAAATATCTTCTAACACTCGCATTAGTGCTTTTGTTCTTGAAGATTGTATTTTTAACCCTGAGCGTTTTTGTTGAACCTGCCTTTGTCCTTCTGTATCTAAACAAAGGAAAAGATAACTTCTCACCTTCGCATCTGCTTCATCCCATGGTACTGAGTTACCCAAAACGCCATTTTCGCGAGCTTTCAGGCATCGGTTTTCCCACCCGACGGGTTTTTCTTGGTTTCTAATTTTTCTGTTTTTCCGTTGTGCCTCGGTTTTCCCTGTTATTTCGACTTCAAAAACTGGTTCTGTTAGATCGACGAGTTCCAGTTTGTCATGTAATATATTTCGAATTTCGATCCCGTCTTTTGCGAACACTGTCTTTTCGACAATTGCGGCCCACTTGGAGCATTCTAATGGCGGTTCCACTGAAGCTCTTTCCCAAAATGAATCAATGCTAAGTAGGTTTTGTGTAAATCCTGCTGGCTGCGCCATGTCATACCGTATGGTATGATCGCTATTGATATTGAATCCGAACGGATTGGTAAACTATGAATAGCTCCAACTGAGAGCACAGATAAAACAACTAGTCCGTAAAGTCTTTGTTTATGTTCTGAACGATATATCTTAATGTTATGCTTTCAGACCATCAAGCAAGGTCATCTGACCAGCTCAACGCAGTGAGCTTTTAACAATTGATAAATAAGTTCTAATTTGCCAATTCGGTCGGATGACAACTGTTAAAAACAAATAAGTTAAATTCATGTTTTACTTCTGTTTGCAGCTTGTGTGACTTTTTTTCTGTAAATAATGCTATTTTTCTACAAAGAAACGGCAAAGACTTGAATCCGATTTAAATGAAAGACTTATTTAAACTGTCAGCAAGGTTTTTTTTGCAATTTCCATCGAAGTTCGAACCCTATACCTAACAATCTCTCCTTTCTTTTTATTCAAATCAAGATGCACCAAAATTAGATTTCTCAATAGAAGCTCTTGGGCTAATTTTTTTAATGCGAGGGTGGGGGATTTTAAATGCGAGGGTGCAATAGTAGGGGGGTTTTGCGAGGTACAACCTACTTTTCTTACTATACGAGGCCAAACTGAGCTCTGGATAGGCACATAGTACGGTCTGTGGATCACTGGAATCCAGAGAAAAGTTTTTAGATTAACCGAAATGTAAGTGGATTCCACTATATAGCTTTACGTGGAATCCGCGCACAAAAAATGAGACCTAATTTTTGTCGACACTTTGGTCTTGTCGTAATTCTGCAATGAGCGAAAATAGCTAGTTGCTTCGGAAATTAGCAGTTTTAAATGGTTTTCGTTCCCATTTCCGCAAATCGAAAACAGCAAAGAAGAACCAAGAAAATTGACATTATTGCGGATTCCGCATTAGTTCTGTTCTCAATGTTTTGCGGAGCCGCTTACAATTCTTAAAATACGCATTTTTCCTCGTAATATATTACAAAAAGCCAAATATTGAATAAAAAACCAGCACAACTTACCTTGCGGCATTAATGATGACATAGAGAACCAATTGATTAAGGTGTATAATGGTTTCAACAGTTTGATAAAGTCAATATAATGTTGATCTGGCGCTTCTTCAAAATCTTCGTGTCCTCTAGACCTGATAAGATTACCCACGAAACAATAACGTTTGCTAAAACATACAGATTATGTCACATGATGTAAAACAAGACTGCTCGTATGTATATTGTTCTGGCTGCAATATCAGCCCAATTAGAAAAAAAAACAGTTGATACTTTTTTCATTTCATTTTTTTAAAAATTTATTCCACATACGCTATGAATATTGCGAAGGGATATTTTGGCTTATCATATCCTAATACCAGCGCCAAATGTATTGTCTGAGTCAATTTGGAGCGAGATGCGAGAACACAATAAGAACACAATATAACGGTCGCTAATTGTACCAAATTGGCCAGAAAAATTCCCATAATTTTTTCAAAAAATGATCATGGTTAGAAAAACGTTTATAATTGTGCTCCAGTCAACATTATCATTCAGATGATTATAAAATTTTTTGTCAAAAATTCTGAACTAGAAAGTGGAAAGTTGATTGAATAAAAGACCACTCAACCTCAAGCAAAAAATATTTAGCTTTTTCTTCGAAAGTCGGAGCAATCAGCAAGTCTTTTAAGCTATATTTTGTTTCGAAACCGTACCCAACAGAAGCTGTTTCCCTAGATAAAATGTTGGCTCTTTTTCATTTTCCTCTGTCGTATCAAAATTTCCTTTTTCATGGTCCTTACATGTATTAACGGCTAAATGCGGGATATTACTATGTAAAGTGTAAAACATACAAGTTATGAGGACCAAAACTGTTCACAAGTGTTGGTTCTTTCACTTTGCAAAATTTCCTTGCATTATGACACTAAATAAATTTTTAAAACTTGAAGTTCAAAACTGGGTGAGTGCAAAGAATGTTATATAGATTATCTAGTCAAGTTTTCTCTATTATTTTCTGTACAGAAATGATATTCTTCTTTTCTTAGTTTTGAAATGAACAATTTCTGAAAAAAAAACAACCAGAAATTAGCTCCCTGCTTAACCGCAGCGAGAAAAACATGCTTCGATTATACGCAATAGCCGTAGGAAAACAATGCAAATTAACACTTGTTATAACAAGTGTTGCTTTGCATTAGACTGCTAAAATTATTCGAAACTATTCTTAAACATCCGTTTATCCGATTGCAGGTCGGAGATTGAATACCATCAGGAGAATTTGTTTCTTGCTAGAAATAGCTTAGATTGATCTCATTTCCAATCAGAAATAAGATGAGAAATAGTCATTTTTAAGAAAATCCTTTCTTCAGTTAAATTTTTCATCAAGAAATTCTTGCCAGAAATTTAGATTAGATATAAAGTAAAAACTGCACTCTTTCGGTACGGGGACCCACACCTCTGGAAACGCTCAGTTGGAAACACACATTTTTCAAATGTTTCCAAAATTTTCTTAAAAAGTTACTTGAAAAACATGTTAATTTACACGACTGAATTTTTGAACCATATAGAACACGCAATTTCTGTCTAAAATGAATTTATGATTTTTTTCCGTTAAATTATTCCTGAGTGTTTGTTAAGGTAAATCTTACCCAAATAGTTTAATATAGTTCTTACCTGAAGCCGGCACAAGTTCTTGCTTGCCACATGGTGCTGTTATCATGGGGGAGTACATACAAAAAAGATTGCCACATGTCTGGCACCCCCATTGGACCCATGACCTCGGTTGCTCCTACAAATTCTGCCAATAAAAACACAAAAAATCATTTAGAAAAATTTTAAAATTTAGTAATTTAGAAAATTTAACTACAGCATACAGCAAAAATGGCTAACTTAGGAGAGCTGATCTTGTTAATTTTAGCATCACATCCCACAGTTGTTTCTTTTTGACCGCACATTTTCTTGATTCAAGAAGAGTGCCTCCCCTTGGGCCCATTGGCTGCTCAAATTTTCCAAAAAGGTCAAAAATCAGGTAGCTTTTCTTTGACAGTTCTGGCCCACCATTAAAAAATGATGTTCAAAATAATGTGTTTTTCTTAGTTTATTTGGCTAGCAGCAGACTTTAGAGAAGGGGGCACGAAACTGTTTTTGGGCAGAAAAAAGAAAGAGAGCATTATTTGATTTATAGAGCAATTTAAGTCATTTTTGACAAATGTTTTTTCTAGAAAAAATAGAGAACGTTTTTTCTAAGAAACAAAAATTGATTGATTCAAGGTTTGCTCATTGCTTGCCATTACCAATCAGTCTTTGTATTTTTTTTTTTAGCTGTGATGAAATTGTTAACACTCGGTGAAATTACAGCAGTGAAATAATAGCGAAATAACGGAAAATTATAGAATTATCTTAATATTCTAAAACTCTCTAAAATATGTACTTAACTGGTTCTGCTATTTATGCATAATTAGATAAAAATAAAAAACGGGACCTAAAATTTTCCAATTTCACCTACAAATAATTTATTATCATTAGACCTATAGGAAGTAGCGCATTGTTAAAATGAATTTTGAGCGATCAAAAAAAGCTTTATCTACGAAGTTAAGGGGGTCTACCAGCTAGTATATAAGAAAAGAGGTCTATAAAGGCGAGAAATCATTTCTCAAATCTTGTGCTGAGTAAACTTAAAAAAAAATTTTTCATCGAAATTAGATCTAGGTTTTTCTCTCTTTTTGTGGTGTAATTTTCCAAAATATTAAAATTCATGAACACTTTTTTCACACTTCTTGATAAGTTACTTGAGCAGGGAGTGATTTCTCTATTGTATAGACAGCAAATCTTAAGTTTTCATAGCAAGCATTATCTCAGAATTTTCTTGAGTTTTGACAATAATTGATATTACAGCTGAAGTGAGTTATGACCGATGGGTATAACTCATAGAGTAATTTCGGATAGGGTACACCGTCTGCTCGTCACGCTATCTTATTTTCGGCCGGATAGATTCGTGCAACTTCTTAGTCTAATACCGATCCTAATCTTACTCTTATACTATCTAGTCTCAGGTTGTTTAACTAGTCTCTGCTAGGCTCAATAGATCTAGGGTATACTGGTTTATTGCGGTTGCTGAAGTCTTCTTGGAGAGTCAACTAATTTCTAAGTTAAATTCAAATCTCTCTAGTGCTGAAATTACAAGTCATTTCAGCACTTACAAATAAGTGGATTGTTAGTCAGATGGATCATGATTGGTTAATATTAAATACTTTACATTGGTAAAATATCTAATTTATCCAATCATAAAATGTAGTTTAGATCAGGTTCCACCCATCCGGGTTTTACAGAGTTTTTTAGAATAGTCTTTCTGCAATTCAAAGGATGGATGATGGACGTTGGTATTTGGCGAACATCATATTTCTTCTGGGTTCTCTTGTTAGAGAAGTTCCAGGTTCGATCGTTGTGTCATCTCATGACAACGACTGGGTCTTTGCAACAAACTCAAATCTGATTTCAGAATGGTTGGCTATGTCAGGTTTTTCTGTTTCATTAATGAGAACTTCTTTGTGTTTTGATCTTGTCTAGGAATGGCGTGGAGATTGTGCATGGAGGGGATGCCTGGTTACTCGGATCTGTACGTATACTTGAACATCGAGGTGGTCATTGGTCTAGTTCAATGAAGTCCTTTTCTGCGAAGTCAAGTCGTACTCTAAATCCTTTGAGTTGTGATTGTGAGCGGCATATCGATTGTAGTTGGCCATTCTTTCTCGAGTGTAGTGGGGTCGTTTTGTCTTTGGATGTTCGTCCTTAGTGTTGTATTCTGATCTATGTATTGCATAATGTAATTTACATTTTATAAAACTTTTATTAGTTTAATATCTTTTAATTATGATTTTAGTTAGTTGTTTTCACAAAAGCTTTTTGTTTTAGTTCAGTTATTTTGAAGAGTTACTCACCCTTGAGTAGCTCTTATTAAAAATAGGAGTGTGGTCACAAAGCGTGGATGTAGCGCGGTGGGTTAGGCCGGCTATAGAGCATGCTCAGGACGTCCTTCCTGGTGGGTTAGGCCAGGAGTGGGAGTATGATTGCATGCGGTTTTTGTGAGAGGTCCTGTTATGTGACAACGTTTTATGTTGGGTTTGTTGTGGTTTTTCTTATGTTTTGTTGGTTGTGTCCTTTTTTCAAAAATCAAATTGTTTGTGGTATGGGTTTGTCTTTTTGTGTTTTATTATTTCTTTCTTAGACTTTATAATAGTCTTCAAAAGAATAAATTATCCAGTTTTAAACTGGGTTAATCCGGTTTGGGTACCGTTGGTTTCCTTTTCTTAGTCATGCTGTTATGCTATGTGTTGTGGTGTTTAGTAAGCTGCATTGGTTAGTTTTGTTTAGTATATAATTCCTTTCCAACCGGGTTAAAGGAAAGTTTGAAACTTGTTATCGTGTGTTAGAGTTGTTGAGTTGTGAAAACTTGAAACTGAAGTTCATTATTTAAACAATTCTTCGTGGGCGAGCTGTGCGAGTTTGGATAGAATTCTTGTGCGAGTGAATGAAAATATCAAAAGGTTAGTACTGCATTTGCTTCTTATTAATTTACTACATAGAATTTTTAATTTTACTGCTAGTTGTTGGGGGAAAAAACAAATTTTCATTTTTTTTAGATTTACTGCTTGTGGGGGAAAAATTTATAAATTAAATTACTGCATTGGTATTATATTTATTTAATTATTTGATGAAAAAAAATTAATAGAGTTTTAAACAGTTTGAAGAAGTTTTCAATTGTTTATTTTCCTTTGTGAGTTTTTCAGATGATCGTTGGGTGAAGGCTAAAATTCTAAAGAAAACATGGATAAAGAATGGTGAGTTTCTAATATTTTAATTAGTTAGTAATATGTATAATTCATACTTACCTGTTAGTCGTCGGGGAAGAAACCGTGGGGGAAGATGTCGTGGATGAGATCTGAAGTTGTTAGTAATTTAGCTAAAATGCGGATGATATTTTTAGTTTGAAGTACTGGCCAAAGCAATTGAAGTGCTTTAATGGTGGTTAGTTCTTCAGTGCCAACTGCAAATTCATAAGGTGTGTTTTGGATTAGATTATATAATTTGTGATTGAATTTAGTGTTATGGATGAATTCTAAAATGGGGATTTCTATAGGTTGTACAAACTCGTGTGGGATAAGGAAGGGTCGGGATTCTTCTGCGTTGAAGGTCTTGGTGATGGGACAAAAAATATACATTTGGGTTATGGGATCATAATTTCGAAGAATACCATGAAGGTTAATATCTTTAATACAATATGTGAAGTTAAGAAAGAATGGTGAGGTGTATTTGGAATTGATGAATTGAAAACGATGGTGTGGTTGTCTGGAGGGAGTGTGTAGGTCGAAGTGATTTTGGATAAAACGATAATAAGTATATGTGTGTGTTTGTTTAGTGCGCAACATAATATCGTGTGAGCAGTGCAAATCTCTTTCATGTGGTGCAAGGAAATGAAAGGTTAGTGAAAATATTTGGAAGCGTTCTTTAAAACTTTCGTAGGCTTGTGTGTCTGTTAGTGCTTCTGAAATAATGTGGTCAAACTTGCGATCGAAGATATTTAGTGTAAATACATATGGTACTTTAATGAAAAATTTCTCGGTGATTTGTGGGTTAGCGAAGCGATCGTCGTCTAAGAATTGATCTTGGTTAGTTCTGATGATGTTATGATCGTAATATTCTAGTGTAAATTCATTTGCTCGGGGTGCAGTGTGTGTTTTTAGTGATTTTTTATATCCAATGTAAGTAAATTGTCTAGATGTTAGTGGTGTAGTGAGTCGATATAGCATGTCCTTATTTCGTTCTATATCGATGTGAGTGCTAGATAAAGGTAAGCAAAGGGGATTAGTAAAATGATAATATGAGGTCCAAGGAAGGGTAGGCATTAAAACGTGTTCGTCTACAAAGTTACGTGTCTCGTTAGTGTCGTGAGGGGTGTTTAAGGTGTATTGTGGAAATGAGGGTAAGGTGATAGCTAAAAATTCTTTTGTGTTAGTGTGTTTTGGATGGTTGATATATTCACGGGCTGTTCCTGGTTTCGCTGGGAAAGGATGGTTGGGGAACTTTCTTTTAAAAGTGCGGTAAGCTCTATTAGTGCTGAGTGAAGATTCAGTAGATGTGGATGATGGTGCTAATGATTCAGTATAAATTGAAGAGGCTGTAGGGGTAGGAGGGTTGGATGAATCTATTGTGGATGAGATTTGGTTTATGGTTGGGATGTCAAGGTGATAGGGTTGTTGTTGTAGGGTAATGAAGTTATCTAGTTCTGGGGAGATTCGGGGGGTATCTGGAGAATGAGATGATTGGTCTGAGTGAAGTGAGGAATAGGTTGGAGTGACTTGGGAAGCATAAGAGGGTGTAGAATTGGATGGGTCAGGGTTATTTGGTAATATGGGTTGAAAAGGGGGTTGGGAAAAAATTGAGGGGTTGGTGGGAAAATTATTGGATGGAGATGGTTCAGAGTCGGCAAATTCATCGGGGGTTTCAATATTCGGGTTATTGAGTTGTGATGTGGAGTATAAAACTGAGATGTGTGAATTAGTATCGGAATTCATGCCTGATGTTACATTACTGGTTGGGAAATCGGGTGGCGGGAAAGCAAAAAGTGGTATTATTGTAATGGGAGTAGTGAGGTTGGTTGGGTGGGAATTTGAACGGTGTAGGGATCCAAGTTGTCGGCTCATCGTGGGCTAAAAAAATTATTATTTTGAGACTGAAAAGCGGTGGTATGGGGTTGTTCTATAATTTGTTCATAAGTATTGTCATCTTGTGAGTGGTGTG